TTGAACTCCTTCTCGTTATCATAAGCCTCATATTTATTTGCAATTTTAGATTGCGTTCATCCTGTTTTTGCTTATGTTCTCGATTCGCTTGCAGGAAAGCCTTCTCGGCGAGGTCAATTACGTTCGCGTGGTTGATAACCAACGGAGCAGTGGTGTAACGGTTACTAGGGTTATCATAAGCCTCATATTTATTTGCAATTTCAGATTGCGTTCATCCCATTCTTGCTTGTGTTCTCGATTCGCTTGTAGGAAAGCCTTCTCGGCGAGGTCAATCGTGTTTGTGTGGTTGATAACCAACGGAGCAGTGGTGTAATGGGTTACGAGGGTCTGAATCAGTCTTGGTTCAAAGCCTAGATCGTGAACGTCGAGTCTCCACCAATCGACGCTATCGTACCTATCGAAAGATCGGGCCTTGTCTACATCAAGTACTCGGGATACTTATTCAGCTTTGCTATTCAGTTGCGAATATTGCTATTCCTTGCTACTATATTATGCCTGTCCAAGCTCCACTTTCTTCTAACCAAGTATAGGTTCGCCTTGCAACTGTTACACTCAAGTTACAACGGTATCACAGTCACCGATTGATTGCACCGCCTGTTGGCTTTGGTAAGAACACTTGCAAGACGGTGGTAAGCCGTTTGAGATATTGCTTTCCACTTTCACCACCACCCAGTAGTTGCTAGTTGATAGGGATAATACTTTTGTGTTGTCTTCTAACAATGACAGGTTGTTCGTATCCACCGACTTATGATGGTATAGGTGCTGTTGAGTATATGGAGTGGGAAATTGCCATAGACAACATATTTGCTACTCGCTTTATGTGTCCAAGGAGGAAGGTAAAAAATGCAGCTAGTGTTTTTTGCGATATTCTGCTTTATCTTGGTGGGAGTCTTTAGATCCTTCTGATAAACCTCAAACTTGGAATGATATGAAAACTCCTTATGTGAGAAACCTTTGTTAATCCACCTTCTATTTTGACTTCATATGATGAGGTGCACCATTTAGAGGAAGAGTCTGTTGTTATTCCTCTTGCTATGACTAACCTTCTGCAGGATAATGTACATAAGCGAGAGGATGACATGGAAGAAAATGAGGAGCTCACAACCTCATATGCAAATTCAGAACCATTACTTCACAATGCACCTATTACTCCTGCTGAGAACATAGGTAATGCCCATGGTGCTACACTAACGGAAGGTGAGAATTGTTTTAATGTACTAAATTTTTTCACAAACCATGCTATCATAGAGCAATTGTTAGTGGAACCCTCTCTTGACTTTATCTTTGTCCCATGATAATTTGCTTGATGTTCCTTGTGATAAAGATGAATTGGTTGATGATGCTTTAGTTTTACATGTTTTTGAACCAATCACTTGTGCTAAAAATAAACATGTTATTCATATTACTACTAAAACTAATGAGCTCAAACTGTTGTCTTCTTTACATACTTTGGGTTACATTGAATTTGATGTTTTGTGTAACCTAGATTGTTTGGAGGAGAGCCTTTTTAAATATGTTGATTTGCCTTGGTTTTCTAAACACACATATCATGTTATTGGCAAATATAACAACAAAGAACAATATATGATACATCGAGTATACGTTCGTAGTAATATGAATTCTCCTTTTGTTGTACAAGATTATGATTGTTTAGAGGGCAGCTATAATAATACAAACATTTTCTCATGTTCCTCAAAGAAATAAGTTCACTTCCAAGAAGGGGACCATTGTTGGTTGCTACCTATGTCTACTAGACCATCTATTCCTGCACTGTCTTTGGTTAGTTCTAATCTTTTGCAGGATAGTGTTGACATACATCGTGTGCATTCGGATCATGGAGTCCCTATGCTTGCTAAATTTTTTATGCGAGATGACACGCTAGAAACTTGGAAACATGGTCATGTTCCTTCTCACAATTATTTCAGGTCCCTTTGTCTTCGTAACCCCGTTCTCCTTTGTGTTGTGTAGGATCAGTTTCAAGCACAATCGACGCCGAGGACGGCTTTTCATCAAGAAAGGGAGGATGGTAAGGACATTAGCTCCATGCATATGACCTTGCTTGGAGATAGAGGCCGAGGAGATCAGCGAGATTGTCCTAACCGAGAAGGAGGCCCGAAGCTCATCCGGTTCGAGTCACCAAGGCGGAGGCCCAAATCAAGTTCGAGCCCATCTCGGGTTCCAGGACCAGTCTGTCATAAAACTGGTCACACAGGCGCGTTCGGGCTCCGTTTTTGACGATCCACGTATGGATGGAAAGCTAATTAGATAAGGAAGCCAATGCAAGTGGTCTCACATCAAAAGCCCTTCGGAATCAACGGGAATTGTCGAAACAAGTCAGTGTCCAGAATCTGTCAGGGTGCTGCGACACCGTCTTTTGGTCCGTTGGACCGTGTATCGTGTTTGGGCCCATTAGGGGGGCATCCAGTGGGGTGACGCCCATGACTATATAATTAGCAGCCGTCGCTCTCCTTAGGATTTGGGTTTTGTTTAGTTCTTGATTTCCTCGTGAAACATACGTCGTTTTGCTGCAACTGTGCCGCCAAGGCTGCTTGCTGTGAACCAGGGCCCTAGTTCTTGATCTTGTTCGCCTGTGGTGATTAGTCCTTTCGAATAAAGACTTGAACTCCTCCTTGTTTTCATAAGCCTCATATCTATTTGCAATTTCAGGTTGCGTTCGTCCCATTCTTGCTTGTGTTCTTGAATCGCTTGCAGAAAAGCCTTCTCGGCGAGGTCAATCGCGTTCACGTGGTTGATAACCAACAGAGCAGTGGTGTAACGGTTGCGGGGGTCCGAATCAGTCTTGGTTCAAAGCCTAGATCGTGAACGTCGAGTTTCCATCAATCGACGTTATCATACCTTTCGGAAGATTAGGCCTTGTCTACATCAATAACTACTTGGAAAAAAATGAAGTAACTAAGCCACTCCATCCACTAAGCCCACTATCGGTGCAGTGGCTTACTACAAGTGCAAATGATTCCATGGACAATGTGAGGATGTGGATTACCCATGGACTGACATATTTGGGTACAGGTAAGCCAATGGTGCTAGTGGCAAGTTGATGATTACAGTGCAAATGGACAGGAATTTGATAATTGTCTCTTTGCTGTTACAGGTAAGCCAATGTTGCTGGCACTGGGGTACAGGTATAATCCATGTGTTGTAGAGTACTGTGTTGGAAGGAGTGCCTGAGAGGGTATGCCACAACCTCCCTAGTGCTTGTTACAAAGTCTTTCTTGTGCTGCTTTCTCTTGTTTTGTTTTGTTTTGTTTTGTTTGGTAGTTCCATCATGTAGCTTGTATTATTAAGTGAATTTCATATGTGCCCTATTGTGCTTGTGTTAGATACAAATTTTTTCCACTGGGAACATGCTTCTCCTGTGCTATATCTGACGCCAGGACTGTGTATTGACACCTGGGTGTCTGTCTTGTATGAAATGTATGCCTTGTTGGTTCATTTTACTGTTCATTGGCACCAAATGTGTAGTGAAATCTAGGCTGTTGGCGCCATATTTTGAATGGGCCTATTGAATTCAAATTAGCCATGAACCAACCAGCCGAACAGGGATCAGCCCACTCCAGCCCCAACCAGCCTAGCCCCAACCAACCGAACAGGGTGATTAAAGCGGACGACGCTTTGCTTCCAGAATAACGCACGTCAATTATCTAATCACTTCTACCAGGCTGTCATGCTAATGATTTTTGTCCTACAAGGTGCTAAGAGCAAGTATAATAGATGGCTGAATGCTGAGGTGGAGGAGAGAAAAGAGAAAGGAGAGAAGAAACGGGTTGTAAGCTTACAGCCGGCTTGGACTGCCTGAGCAAAAGCAGTACATGTATGGACTGAGTGCACTGAATGGATCCTCAGCAAATCATGCTTGCCAATGCCATTTGATTGCTCATTTTATTACTAGGGCATAATATGATGCATGTCTCAAGCTTCTATCTTCTCTCATAGAAAAGAAGGAAAGCGTCGCACTTGAGAACTTCGTCTAGAGACACTTCTCTGATGCTTTTATCATTAGCACGAAACCAAGCGGAAGAGCTATTGCTCGTCTCCTGCTCAAGGACAATCCTGCTTCCTCTCACATAAGCAACAAATGAGAAACTTCAAGCTGCACAAAAGTAATAACTATTGCAGTTAAAAACTTCGAACTTGGGTCTTCTCCCACTTGGTTTGCAGTATTTTCCTGCTCCACTTGTTGTGTTCTATCCTTATTCAGTGCGCTGGCATTTTTGTTACCATGCACTCAACAGGTTGCTCTTTTCCTCCACTTTTCTGTGATGGTCACGTTAAGTTCGGGCCGTCAAGTGATGTGCTTTCACTGATGTTTGCCACCATCTGTCCTCTATCTATGCTTCGGCAGGTGGGGCAAGAGAAAGCAAAATCTTTTCAGCACACTGGTCCTTCCATTGATCTTTTCATCACCAAGCCTGTTTATCACAAATAACAAAAAATACAGAAAGTAAGAAACGAGGAAAAACATACTAGGACAATAACTAACAAATTTCTAGCCACTGAAGTGCTCCCACAATGCAACTACTGAAGTATCATCACATTGTGGATTCATTGTTCTATAAAAGATAGATTGAGCATAGCCTTGAAAAACATACCAATTAATAGCTAGAAGGACCTGAAGCATCTTCCAATTTTTAGTGGTGCCTAAACAATTTGAAAACAGATTTGTCTAGCACAAACAAAGAAATCTGCACCAAACCATATGGGTCGCAGACAACTATACTATATATGGAACCTAAAATCCAGATATTTTCAGTTTTGAAAACTTAATATTTCAGATTTCAGATACTTGTAGCTGCATAATTAAGCAATACGACAATAAAAGTGCTGAACCAAAGATAGGGCCGGGAAGGGGAAGGAATGTACCTTGAGCAAGGTGGGCAGCAACACCTATAAGTAAGCAACTAAAACAGAGACTTGAAGAACAGGTTAGAGAACGCACCTGGGGCAAGCAACGAAACACATACCGCACGCACAGACCAAACCTAGCACATGTCCATCTCTGGAGGGGGAGGTGGGAGCTGCACCGCCGCAGCCACTGCCGGCTGCGGCGGCGGCGGATCGTACCTCATGGCGTACACCCCATACACGGGCATGTAGCAGACGATGCACACGCACGTCATGACCACCGTGGCGGCGATGCAGAGGTACACCCAGACGCGGAAGATCGGTATCCAGAAGCGGGCCTCCTCGGGGTCAGTAGTGAAAGAGATGACCTTGACGATGCAGATCATAATGTCGAGCCCGACCATAGCCATGCCCCAGGCGCGGCACATGCCGCCGAACACGCAGGACACGGCGTACGGAAAAAGCAGCTTCACCTTCATCGGCGGCGAGAACGCTTCTTATCCTCCGCCGCCGCCGGGTGGGGGGGAGGTGGGCTCGACATCGCAACAGGAGCCGGAAGGCGACGAGTCGAGAGGAGCGGGATCGAGCGAGGAGGGAGGAGCACCTCACGGACATCGGGCGAGGAGGAGGAGCACCTGCGGCCTCGCCGGAATCGATCGAGGAGCCGCTGGTCGAGATCGCGAACCAGCGAGGAGCTGTGGTCGGGAGATCGAGATCAAGATAGCAGGAATCGAAAACTTTGGGGATCGATTGTTCTTGTTCTGGGAGGCGGGGGTGGAGGCGACGCCCGGCCGCTGGGGTTTTATTGCCTGGGAAGGCGAGTCGGTTTTGGGAAGATGAGTCAGCGTATCCCTCACGCGCCAACCTGTTGTGAGCTGGAAGAAGAAGAAGAGTCGGAATCGGCTGCTTGGCCTCCCGCGGGTTTTTTCATTATGAGCTCTTTCTTTTTCTTAACAAAAATAAATAAATAAGGATTTTTCATTAATACCGTCTTTACCCCTTGAGCCTTGACGACAAAAATAAAATAAAATAAAAATAAATAAATAAAATGGGTGCTTTGGTGTTCTAATCATCCAATTGCAAAGGCAATGCAATTGGAGGGACAATCGAGTTCTTGTTTGTGTCTTTGTGTTACTGTCTTGTTGGATTTAAATCTCGGCATCTCGGGCTTTTAGATCCAGTATGGCTGGTATTGGCGGTTGATATTCTTTCAACGTGTCAGATGAGTGGGTTGATGTTTGTTCCATGGATTAAGTAACAACCATATAGTTTTATTTTAGATGAGTAAGATCTGTCACATAACTGCACCAAACCTCATGTCAATTCAACCAGTTCTAAACTTGTTCATCTTCCAAAGTATTGCAAAGTTCCTATTGTTTTTTTTCCACTGGCATGGTTTTGCCCGAGCGTCCAAGGTGCATGGGGTTGGATCGGATGTAAATCACTTATTGATGCTTCCATTACAGATTTGATCAAGGTTCGGAAAACAAACTGGTTCAGAAAAAAACTAGTTCGTCGTAGCATATTCCAACACTTATTAGGACTACTTCCTCCGTCCCACAATAAATGACATGATAGCATTCGAAATGTGTCTCAAAAGAACAGTAATATTTTATTCTAAAGTGTGGATTCCACCCTATACCAAGTACATCACTGGTCCATCCATCATCTCGCTATGGTCCAAAATATATATAGAAATAAAAAAATGAAAAAAAACTAATGGTGTGGGAGGAGGCTTATCCTTTCCCTTAGTCCCTCACTGGTTGTTGCTGTGAGAAAGCAGATCCTTTATGAGCATGTCAATATAGATGGCCAAATGTCCGGGCCTGAGCTAGGCACAGCCTATAGTGACCGATCCAAGCACGACAAGCCGTGTCGCTCGGGCCGTGCCTCTTAGGGTCACGGGCTAGGCATTCGACCCAAGCACGACACTGAGCCGTTTTTCGGACTAGCCAACTTGGGAAGCACAACACTCCCAAGAAGGTTGGGCTAGCCCACGGTTGGAGCAAGTGACCGATAGGATAGAGAGGCACTTGGGATCTCTAGCCTTCGGTATGGGACCTGTGGCGCTCGGGGTCTCCGCCCTCTAGGACAGGAGCGGTGGCGCTCGAGGGGGGGGGGCGTCAGTGCTATGGGTCTCTGGCCTCCCAGGACGGGAGCAGTTGCACTCGGGATCTCCGACCTCCGGGACGGGAGCGACAGCACATGGGGACTGGGGCTACGGGCAGCGGTGCTTGGGATCTCATGCCTTCGGGACAGGAGCGGCGGTGCTCAAGATCTCTAGCCTCCGAGACAGGAGCGGTGGCGCTCAGGGGTTTGGCTGGTGGTGGTGGGGTTTGGGATCTCCAGCCTCAGGGACGGCGAGTAGCGACACTCGGGGACCATGGCTATGGGGACGGCGGTGCTTGGGATCTTCGGTCTTTGGGACAGGACCGACGACGATGAGAGAAGGGAGGGAGGGGTGTCTGCGCAGGCGCACGGTATGGCGCGTCGCGAGGGGAGGCAAGGGGTGTCCGCGCACATGCGCGAGGGAACGGGCAGGCGCCTGCACGGGTGCAGCGGACTGCGAGAGGAGAGAGCGGCGGTTGGAGGCGCGGGTTAAGAGAAATAAGTTAGGGTTAGTCTGCCTGTGAGAGGGATTTATAAATTGGAGTGGGCCTCCATCGGGCCTTCCTTTAGATACCGGGCCAGGTCGCGCGTCGTGATTGGGTCACAGTCCAAGCATGGCCCTAGCTATCAGGCCGAACTAGCTTGGGCACGCTGATGACTGGGCTAGGACATGCTTGGGTCACGGCCTAAGCATGGCCCTAGTTATCGGGCTGAAAGGCATGCTGACAAGTGACAACCGAGCCAGGCCGTGCTTGGCTAGGCCAAAAAACTGGGATACCGTGCCAGCTACGTTTTCTAAAATGTTTTTTTTGTTGTGGAATGGAGTGAGTATGTAGTTTAGCAAAGGTGCTTCCAAGGCACCACTTCACCAACCGTGGATTTCACCTATTCAATATTTTTCTTTGATTTGCTATACTGAAGTCAATTGATCACAACATAATACAAAGCCCCGAAAATCATTCTAAACTGCAAACAGAGGTAAGCAAAGGTATTTCTTAAAACTGAGATGAGTAAGCAGAGAAAGTTCGGCCCAATCTAACAGCTGTGATGTGACCGATCAACAAGGGTCCACGCCATGTCTCCCTCGAAGATACAGGAGTACCGAGTAAGCTATAAGGAATAGAAAAAGAAAATGAGTGCTCGAGCTTCATTGATGGCGGGCGTAAAGCCCTGTTATTAGGCACTTGTCGATGTTTCACCACCGATAGCCTGCCACGGGGGTACCCGGGGCAGTTTGTTCGGGCTTCAGCGTATGCAGAACTCGACGATAAACGCAAGAGACAGTCGATTTATCCTAGTTCGGACCCTCGATCGTTGATCGAGTAATAGCCCTACGTCCAGTCGGCGTTAGCCTTTGTGTTGGATTGATTGTCAAGTGTTGTGTCGTAAAGTCCCTTCTCTAGGAACTCTGCCCTCCTTTATATATCATGAAGTCAGAATCCTTGTCGGTTTACAATGAGGATTTCTAGTAGGATTACAGAATAATACTACTACTAGGATTACATAGGAAAAATCCTAGTTTAGACTAGATCTTCTTCCTTCTTTGTGGGGTATCCCATGGGTCCCGCACCGACAAGCCCCCGAGCACTTCATGGTTGAGCTCTGGAAGCCTCGTCTTGTTCCTTTAGGTCTTGCCGAGCAGGAACAAGCGTCGTCCGAGTGCTTTCTTGGGCGAAACCATGTAGCGCTTCGTGAGATCTTCGCGTGGTGTGTATCTTTTTGAAGAAAAAAGTACTCCCATTTGGGTGTAGCCCCCGAGCCTCTTGCTATTTGGCACAAGGAGCTGGAGGGTCTTCTTGAAATCGCTCTGATGCTTTGTCGAAGGGCTCCTGAGCATATATCCGGGTTCTTTATAAAAAAGGGCTCGGATATAGCTAGGTCCGGGTTCTTTTTGTCATCAGGTCTTGAAGTGGTCTGTCTTGAAGAAGTCTTTCTGGTGACGTGCTCTTTTTGAAGAAGAAAAAAGTGCACTCACTGAGTGTAGCCCCTGAGCCTCTTGCTATTTGGAATAAAAAGTTGAAGGGTCTTGAATCTTATGTTGTTTGAAAACTGCTGTCTTGAAGAAGTCTTCTGAGTGATGTGCGCATTTTCGAAGAAAAAAGTGCACTCACTGAGTATAGCCCCCGAGCCTCTTGCTATTTGGAACAAAGAGTTGGAGGGTCTTGATTCTGAGTTGTTCAAGTTACTAAAAACCTCTTCTGTTGCAGCCCCGTCTTGAATCTGAGTTGTTCAAAGGACTGAAAGCCTTTCTTATTGCAGCCCCCGAGCATATACCTGGGTTCTTTTATCCAAAAAGAACTCGGATACAAGATCTTGGCATGTTCTCTGGTAGTCTGCTGTTGTCAGATGTAGTTGTATGGTGGTGGTTAGTAGTAAATGCTGTTTGTTCACGAGTTGTACAGTGTTGGTATATTCTTCCGAATATGCTCATTTTTTAGTACTGCTCCTTCACGCCTGAGTCCCCTTTTATTGAATTCTGTCTTTTCACTATGTTCTTTGTTAGGTTTGTTCCGTTGGTGCTCCCGGTCCATGTGCACCGCTTCTTTGGCCTATAAATATCCTTCTTGTGTGCTATTTTGATTCATCGAGCATTTTGTTGCATGGTCTGAAATCTTCTTAGTCATGAATATGGTAGTTTGTGAAGTAAAGCAGCCCCCAGGCGTATTTTGTAGTTCTTGTGTATCTTGTCGTAGCTAGAGGGAGTCTTGTGATAGGGATAGAGGTAGACTAATCCCACAGTGGCATTGTACCAGGAAGTACGTGGCGGTAGTTGGAGGAAGTCTTGTGATGTGGGATACGTTCCTTCATCCAGCAGTTCTGGGTTGATCCTCGTAAACTTGCTTACGAGACTGTCCGGTGCAGATCAACACCATATCCAGCATCACATCGGACTTGGGTAGATAGATGTCTGCTTGGCTTCCCACGGTCTATGTTATCCCGTGCGTCTTCTTGATTTCCGCCTTGGATGCCTTCGTCCAGATCTTTGAAGAAAAAAAGCAGTTGTAGCCGTGCGGTTTTGTTTTACCGAGTAGCAATTTGGAACACGCAGTCATTCCAAAGCCTAGCTGTGTCCGGGTTCCTCTTTGCTACCTTGCTTGTCGTAGTACCAAGTTCGTTGGGTCTTGTAAGATGTGTAATCTTCTATTTTTTGAAACCGTTTATAATGGAAAGAATCTTATCTTCTGAGTTGTCATTCTTTATTCTGCTGATGTCCCGGCTGTTTATGAGATTCCCGAGTTCTTTCTATAAGGACCGGGTTGTTGCGTTCCTTGTGGGGTAACCTTTCGTTGCTTTATGGCTGATGAGTTCCTTTTGTAGCAATATGATAAATCATCGTATTCTTTGGATGGCTAAGTCCGAAATCTGTCCG